TAGTAGTACCAGAGTACTTCTTCTGGTATACTGCTGATTTTCATTCAGCCAAAGGAATCCATCAATCAATCAAAGAATGTACGTTGGATAGCACTTAGCAGGTAGTAGTACATTTGCTTCGTCACTACTAGCAGCAGTATACAATGCAACTAGGAAGTAATTATGAGTAATCAGCCAGTCCATTTCTTTTCAAAAGATGCTATTTCAGATTTATTGGTACTCGAAATCGAATGTTATTGGGAAGCACTACCGGTACGTTTGGAGTCTTGTACCGATCGTGTGATTGGAAGAATGAATCAATCAATCAATCAATCAATTATATTTTAGTATCTGCCCATCGACAAGCAACGGATATTGAATATTTCCTCACCACTCACCAGAAGCCAAACAGTCCTCACACGGCCCTTTTGGCATGCAAAGGAAAGTGGCGTTATGTTCTCGCAAGAGTAGTGGAATCTACTGTGGCACCCCGGTCCAGGAGTACGCGGGCAACATGATCGGTGTTATAAAAGACTTGAGAGCTGCTAGATACAACGGCCGACATCCCCAATCGGTCTCCTTCGCTTCCAAATCAGCTCCCTCCTCGCCCAATAGCAGAGAAAAAACATCCACATTGCCTCGGGAAACACGCAATATGCAAAGGTCTATTGTCCCCGCTGTCTTTTGCTTCCAAAATGGCACCACCTCGATCCAAAAGATGAAGGACAGCATTCAGACTGGTTGCCAAATGCAAAGAAGGTGTACGACCATCATTGTTCCTTGCTTCCACAATGGCACTTCCGTCCAGTAGTAGACGAGCATTCTCATCAAAATAAATAAAGCTGTTACAAACCAAGAGTAACGGTGTATTGCCTTTTTCATCCCTTGCCTCAACGTCAGCTCCTTGGCTCATCCCCAGTTGCAAAAAACATTCCAACCACATGCTCCTTCGCTCATCACCAGTTGCAAAAACATTACAACATGCAACGGCGATTTTCCAGCAATGTCCCTTGCTTCTACGATCAGCACCTCGATATAGCATGAGTCTCAACGATATCAGAAATACCCTCTTTGCAGGCAATATATGTGCAAGACGGATTTGTTACATGTGTGTATGTGTGTGTGTGTGTGTGTATGTGTGTGTGTGTGTGTGTGTGTGTGTGTATTGGAATCATCAATCAATCAATCAATCAATCGTCCACTTGATCCGGATCTTCTTTCTTCTCCATCATGCATCCAGTAGGTTTTTTTACTACCGTATATATAGAATCAGGTTTTTGTCATCCCTCACCGCTTGAAGCAATGGCCTATCAAAACTCATAGTAATCCGCCGTTTCAGAGTATTATATTGTTGTTGTTGTTGTTGTTGTTGTCATCATATTTTATTGTCCGCACGATATATATGATATATGATGAAACCATCAACTTGTTGCATGAGTGTTCGCATTCTGTTCGCGATCTGTCCGTAAATAAGGTCAACCAATATTAAAATACTGTACCTTACATATTATGGTACACTGTACCGGTGGTACCAGGTATCCGGTGCACAATACCCGTACTGCGATGAGCACTCTTGCTACGGTATGAGCTTGAATGAGTTTGTGTTTCAAAAAAAGGTTGTCGTTTAAAAACAAATTAAAATAAAACTCTTCCAGGGTTTTATTCTATTGGGAAGCACTACGTTTGGAATCATCGGGAGTAGGATTGGGAGGAATGAGATGTAATTGATCTCCCATCAACTGCTGTTGCTCGGTAGAATAGGGATGATTCAGGTTCTGCTGTTGTTGTTGTGGTTGTTGTTGAACAAAGGCGTTGGATGATGATGAGGATGATTCTGGTGGGGCACCAATGGAGGAGGAACCTGAGGATACCTCTGTAAAGGTATCGTTCCATTTGGAGGTAATGACTTCAAATTCTTCCACGGTAAAGTTGAAGATATCGTCGGCAAAGGCATTGTCATCATCACCGAAATCATCCGAAATCTCGGAAGACATTGAAACCTTACTCTTTCCTTTGGGTCGTTGCTGCTTCTTGATAGAGGCCTTGGGTTTCATTGCCTGTTGCCGTTGCTTGCGGCGAACGTCTCCTTGACGTTCGCAAATGAACTGTGCCAGGACCATGTGGAATCCCTTGTCACGCCCCCAGGCTCGTGCCAAATGCCGAAAGGAGGCTCTGGGAGCACCCGTGAGGACCAAAATCTCCATCCAGACTAGTTCTCGTTCCCACCCTTCCAGTTGGGCGGCAGTGTTATCAATGGGAAGGAGTCCCCGGGCCCTTCGTTCCTCGTTCCGGTGCCATGCGGGTGGCTTGAGTCCATCGAATCCAGCCTTGAGATGGGCCACCAATGGATTGACAGTCTCTGTGGAGGGAATGTAGGAAATGCTAAAGGGCAAGACACTATCGTAGACGCTGCTTCCTTCAGGAGCAGGAGGAGGTGCACTTGCATTGACCTTCGGAATGGGCGTAGTGATTCGCTTCATGGCCTTGAAATGAGACTTGCACATGCGATCGAAATTGCCTTGGGCTTGCTTTCCGCAGCCTTCCACCTTGCAGAGTCTTGGTTTGGCGCCATGGCGTTGGCAGACTCCTTGGGATTTGACAATGCGTTCGCAACCTTGCATCCGGCAGTAGCGGCGTTTGTGCTTGAGGTGGCGAGGGTCACGGCCTGACACTGCAACTGGCTTGGCGAGGGATGGTGACATGATTGTTGTTTTGTTTTGTTTGCTTGTATGCTTCTCTTTGATCAGATATTTTATTGCAAATTGTGTTGTGATGTTCCAAAGTTCAAAAGAGTTGTGTTGTGTTTTCAGTTGGAATATCGGCTCTCGCACACACAAAAGTTAGAATTCATCACCTTTGTGTAGAGGAGGCATGTTGTTTGGTACCTTGCGAGCTCCAAAACCGCCATTTTCTGCAACGAGCTCCCGCTCCGTCATTCTTCTTTTTTCGGTTGAGCAGAAGCACAGAATTTTTCCCGTTAAGCGCGGAAGTCGTGTGTGCGTTGTCGGTTTGTCCATTGATACGAATTGTACCCGAACAGACACTAAATCTTGTCTGTGTCCATAAGTGGGAAGAACCACAGGACTGTCTCCTGCTGTCTGATTGTCCGTTTGTTAGGTACTGTTCCCGAACAGACAAGATCAGACACTCTCGCGTGTCTGTGTCGTGCTCAACTTCCGGGAATGCAAAGAACAAGTCGGACGTCATCAATGCCAACTGGCGTTTTTTTTAGAGAAAAAACTGCTGGCGAATCGTACCTGGATTGTGTGACTGTCTTTCCATCGAGTAGATTTGGCTAGTCCATCGTTCCCAATACCGTGATGATTCGTGTCTGTGTCGCTCTTTTTTTCAAATCCGATGTTGAAGAATATGCAGCGATTCGTACCAGTACTTTTTCAATACTACGGTACAGTACGCCTTTTGAGAACCTCTAGTGTCATTCTCCGCGGTTCAACTGACGATTCGGTTCGGTACTTTGAAAATCGTTCAAATCCTACGTGGTTCACAATTTCCTGTCTGCGCCGAACACCAAAAACCATCCCAAAGATAAGGGCACATTGACAAACAGACACAACAAACAAGGCATCTTCAGTCCGGATGGCGTTTTTCTACGGCAATGCTGGTATCATCCAGTAGACAACAATCAACAGTGATCAACGACCAGAGGCAAATCAAAACACTGACATTATCTCACAATCTTGCAATCTCAGGAAAACTTTAACAGTTTCCGTTCGAGCCTTCTTTTTTTTTCGGAAACAGTCAGTCAATCGAAAAAACCAACCATCATGGCTCCTCGACCTGAACCCTTCCAAACCATGGTTGTTGAAGGACAACCTGCTGCTCCTTTGACCAACATGGGAATTGATTTGGAAATTGCTTCCTCTGTTCTTACCTCATCGCCTTTGCAACAAGTGGTGGTCCTGGTGGACCCCATGTCTACCGGTGTCATTCTTCAAGACAAGGTCTTTGACGCTGGCATCTACGACGTTGTCATTGTCTGGAGCGACCGATCACAGCCCGCGGCTCGTGACAAGCATTTCAAGAACTCTGGTCGTTCTCGTGAAGACTTTGCGGCCGTCATTACCCATGAAGATGGAGAGCTTGAGGATACACTGCTTGCCATTTTGGCCGCTACTACCAACATGACTATCGCTGCAGTCATGTGCGGCAGCGAATTTGGCGTCCTTTTGGAAGATCAAATTGCCAATGGCCTCAACCAAAAGTTGGGTACCACTCACCTTCGCGGAAGCGGAATTCCGGTCCTCAACACCAAGGTGGACAAGCACTTGCAAGCCAACACCATCCGTGCCAATGGTCTCAATGCCGTTCGAGAAAAGCTTGCCAAATGCGAAGACGACGTCCAAGCCTTTCTAGAGGAGAACAACGAAGAGGGAGCATGCTTTGTCGTCAAGCCACAAACCGGTGCTGGATCTGTCGGAGTCACCTTTTGTGACTCTCGCAAGGCTGTCTGGGAAGCCTATTACAAGATTCTTGCAGGAGAACACAAGGCTCATTGCCGAAACAAGTACCGCCACTACGAACAAGCTGGCGTCCTGCTGCAAGAATACTTGAAGGGAACTGAATACATTGTCAACTCGGTGGTTAACAACGGAAAGATCAAGACCACCGCCATGTGGAAGTACGACAAGCGTCCCTACAATGGTGCCGCCTTTGTGTGCTTCAGCAAGGAGCTCCAAGTCATTTCTGATCCCAACTGCGAAGAAATCCTCGAATATACCGAAAAGGTTCTCAAGGCTGTCGGGTTTGAGAGTGGAGCCATTCATGCCGAAGTCATGTACACTGCTCGAGGACCTGTTTTGGTCGAACTCAACTGCCGCTTGCACGGTGGAAACGGTGCTTGGGTACGACCAGCTGAAATTTGCATGGGATACGACCAATTGACCATGTTGATGGATTGCTACCTCAATGGAGGAAAGATCTTTGATAACATTCCATCCCGACCAATCACCGCCAACAGCTACTGCCAGCAAGTCAAGATGCGTTCTCACATTGAGGGAGTCTTGAAGACTGTGATTCCTTCCCAATTTGAAAGAATCGAGGCATTGCCATCTTACTACAGCCACCTGTTTGGAGTATCCGAAGGTGATCGTCTCTTGAAGACGGTAGACATGCCTTCTGTTCCAGGAGAAGTAACTCTTGTGCACAGTGACAAGGATCAACTTGCTGTCGACTACGAAAAGCTCAACGAGATTTTGGCAGAGGGCATCTTTGAAGTGGAAGCCTAAAAAAGAATGTCAACCTCTGACTATGCTGTGATTAGGATGGACTGTACAATAGGACTACAAATGATGTGAATACAAATTTGAACAATAAGAATACATACTGATAATATAAAAAAATATGACTTGCACATGACACTAAAAACTTTTGCAGTCACTACTAGTGTTAGTCAAAAGCTTAGCAGAAGACATTTCACCTCTTCAACTGCCATCGAAGGGATGAACGAATCATATATTATGTGTATAAAATCAATAATACATAAATACTATTAGCATCACTCTTTGAAAGTCTTGCGGTGACCATGATGATAGAATCGATGAGCGGCTCATGGCTTTTTAAAATTCTGATGGACGAAGGTCGATG